TATAAAGGTTCACCAAGGATCTAGCATTCTGAAGGAAAAAAGACCTCTATTTATCTCACTAGTGTGGAATTTCAGAAGTACAAGGGCAGAGAAAAATCTTAAAGCTTCCAGAAAGAAAAACCAGATCACCTTCCAAAAAGTGTGTATCAGGCTAGCATCACCCATCTCATCAGCAGCCCTGGTGGTTAGAAGGCAGTGGACCAATGGTGTTGGCATTCTGAGGCAAGATTGTTTTATTCTACAATTTGATACCAAGCCAAACTACACAAATTTGAAGACAAAATAAAGAAATTTTCAGATGTGCAAGGTTCAGAAAGTTTCCTTCCACATCACCTTTCTTAGTAAGTTACAAGGGAGTAATCCAAGAAAGAGAAATACATGCAAACTAAAAATAGTGGATGCAACCAGGAAAGAGATATCCCAAGGTAATAGCTGTGCAGCAAGGCCTAAAAAACCAACCCCAATGGGAGGGCAAGAGAGGGTTCTTGGAAGAATGGGAAGTATGGTTAAGGGCTAAGAAAAGATTAATGATCAAATTAACCTCTCCCTCCCCCCAAGAATGATGTGGGGCTGTTAGAAACAGGAAAGGTAGAAAACTACAAGAAATCTATGTAAATCAAAGTTAAAATGTATCATGAATTTAAAATTAAGTCCCCTTGGATTATTGCCCTGGAAGTGACTGTTATAGGCCCATATAAAAGGAAATTTAATATACTTCCTAGCCTGCATTTGGACCCATATATTGTCATGAAAATGTGGATGTTACTGTATCGGCTTTCAGCTTTCAGGATCAGGCTGTGGAGAGAGCGTGAAGGATTTGGTTGTGGTTACAAGAGAGAATGTTAATTGTCTTAATATTAATAAAAATGTAAAAATACAGGTAGCAGCAGGTGGGGGGAAGTTTGAGAGAAAGAATATATGGGCACTATTAGCTTCCTTTTACAAAGTGAGGAATTAGGACTCATCTAAAACTGATAGGAAAGACAAGAGGTTTATGTAAAAGTAGTAGAATTGTCAAATAGCAGGGAGGAAGATGGTGGAAGGAAGGGGCATAATATGTTAGCCCCTCATCTTTCTTATTTTTAAACCAATAAGCATTGTCTTAAAGTTAACAAACTAAGAAATAAAGTGAGTGCAGAAAGAACTAATTTTTTTAAAAGCCTAGATATGGGGATGAGGAGAGACTTTTTATCATAAGCTGTTCTGTCACTGATTTGTCACTCACGTGCATGTATGTATTACTTTTGATTTTTAAAACAAAAAAAAATTTAGGGAACAGGAAATAACCCAGATTGGCAAGCTACATGTAAGGGAATGTTGGGAATAATACCAGAAGAGTAGGTTGAGGCCATATCGTAGAGGACCTGAAATGCCCAAATGAAGCAGTGCATTTAATTCAGGAAAACTTGGAGAAGTTTTTGAGCAGTCGGGTCATATGACTGGAGCTGTCTACTTTCAGAAAATTAATTTGTCAGGAGGATGAGTTGGACTGGCAGTGGCAGAATGGGGCGTTATGAGTAACCAAGCTAGTTTCAGTTTTCTACAGGAAAGGTAATGAAGGATTATGCCTAGATGATATTGGAAATAGAAAAGGAATGAAAAGTATCTCTAGTACCATGCGTGTTGAATGAAGGAATCAAAGGGAGACTGTGGTTTTTAGTAACTTGTTTGACAGAGCAAAGGAAGGATAAATGTCAAAGATGAAATCTTTCCTGAATAGTAACTGCTATTTATTTTGAGATCCATAGCTTGATCATAGCTCACACTATGAGAGTAAGGCTTAATCCTGTATTAATCCTGTAAAGTTCTACAAAGTGCAGAACTTTTCTAATTCAGTAATCCTTTCCTGCCTGTGTTGCATCTTTATTTGTGACAGACAATTGTAGGTATTTGCTATGAAATATAAGATGATAAAATATTACAGCCTAATAAGTCACATCCCACTTACCCAACAAAGAAAAGTGGTAAAACATAGAGAAACTTACGTAGTATAGTTCTTCCCAGCCTCATGATTTAAGGGCATAAATAGCCATTAGATTCCAGTTAGGCTCTTGAACAGATAGTTTTTTCCATAGGAAGCTAACTGGCACATGCTGGAATCCAACCCATGAACTTGGCCTCTAGACTAATCCACTAGTCTTCAAAGTGGGAAATGACAGCACTTTGGGGTACAGAAAAGAAAGGAAAACTTCTTTATAGTTTCATTTCCATGTATAATGTATATAATTTAATAATACCGAAAGCACATGTATGTGATTTATAAGACAAGTACACAAATATTGGGTATATGCTGAATTTTTATTACTAATAGGGATGTGCTACCAAAAGTTCAGAGACCACTTCTCTAGTCAGTTTAGCTAACTTACCCAAGAAATACAGACCAGTTACAAAGATGAGGGGCATAATTTAGTTTGTTCCTGTCACATCTTGGATGGGGAACCACCAAGAGCCACTGACAGCCTCAGTGTGGTATAATGCTAAGAGCTTTGTTTTGGGTGTCATTAGAGGTCAGGAGACCTGGAATTGAGCCCTAAGTCTGCCAGTTACTGGCTTGTGATCTTTACTTAATCTCTTTAAACTTCAGACTAGAGTACTCAAACCATTTTGCCTTTAAAAGATCTGTCAAATTTCTGGTGGTGAATGAGGAAGTTCATAGAAAATTCTGAAATGTTTTTGCTTGCTCTGGGGTGTACTCCACTGTGTTGTCATCATGTCTTTCTAACATTGATATGTAGTCAAAGATTTGTCATGAATCATAAATATGAGATAAAAGGTGAAAAAGCACCTAACCTAGGCTTAATACACGGTAGGCACTTTTAATAAATATTTTCTGGATTTTAATCTAAATCTTACTTAATCAGTTGCACATATACATTGCTTTTTGTGAGTTTTCAAAAAGGAATTTGGTAATTGGCTTTCTGCCTTTCCTAATGTAGTTATGAACAGCTCTTACTCTCAGGCCCTATACATTGGTCTCATTTGGAGAGAAGTGTCCCGTAAAGGGGTTCGCATCTTAGAGTTAGCTGATACTGGATTCTCCTGTAATACCTACTGCACAGGATTGTCGTGAGAATGAAAGGAGATAATGCATATGAAATGATAAAGGGCTACACCATATTATTATTGTTGCCAAAGTTTTGAGAGAGTCGAAAATGATTAAGCCACCAAGTAGTAGGACAGTCTACAAACTATAACTTCTGTATTACAGAGTAAAATGGTGGACCTGGATTCCTGAAAAAAGTCCTCTTACAGGAGCTTTTTTCCTTTTACTGCTTGTTTTTGAAAGCTACCCTGCTGTATCTTTTTGAGAAACCTTCGTAATTTCCTATATTGCCAATACTCTGTGTCTCAGAAAATGTTAATTGATCTCAAACATTTATATGGAATGTAATAGTAATAAAAAAATTGTTTGTTTGTATAGCACACTTAGATTCTACTAATAGTACTTATGCACTAGAAAAAGTAATGCAGGCAAAAAGAAGAATAGAAAAAATAGTCTTTGACAGACATGTAATTTCTGGTTTTATTGAGTTTTGTTTTACTGTAGTTTTTGGCTGTAACATAGTATGTGTCTTGATTAAATAAGGTGTACTTAATTGAATGATCTCAGGGTGAATAAGTAATTGGAATTCTATGTATATTTACATATTTTGTCAACCTTTCTCTTCTGACACCTTCCCTTGGATATACTGAAAGATCTGCTGTCTTTAAAAATCCTTCTCACCCGGCCGGCATGGCTCAGTGGTTGAGCATCGACCTGGATCCAGGAGATCAAGGTTCGATTTCGGTCAGGGGCATGCAAGAGGCAGCCCATCAATGACTCTCTTATCATTGATGTTTCTGTCTCTCTCTCCTTCTCCCTCTCCCTTCCTCTTTCTTTTTTTTTAATATGTCTTTATTGACTTCAGAGAGAGGAAGGGAGAAGGAGAGCGAGAAAGAGACATCAATGATGAGACTCACTGATCAGCTGGCTCCTGCATGCCCCCAACTGGGGATCGAGCCCGCAACCTGGGCATGTGCCCTGACCGGGAATTGAACCACGATCTCCTGGATCCTAGGTCTACGCTCAACCGCTGAGCCAGGCCCGGCCAGGCTCCCTTCCTCTTTCTGAAATCAATAAAGACATGTTTAAAAAAATAAAAATAAAAATCCTTCTCTTAACCCTGAGACCTTCCACTATTCCATTATGCTGATCATTTTTTTCTGTGTCTTATCCTCCAAAGGTTAAATCTTTTTTGATTTAACATTTAGAGTTATTTCGTTTTGCAGTTTTCGAGTTATTCCTTTCTCCCCTCTCAGATTTCAGGTAGAGACAGATTGTAACTTAGATATTTCAAACAGAATAAACTTTAGCATACTAATTCAAATGGCCTTGCTGAGGGTAGAAATCTCCACTTTTACCCTGGAATATTTTTCAACCCTTCTTCCCAATAAATAGGGTGTG